ATAATAATAATAATAATAATAATAATAATAATAATAATAATAATAACAGTGATAATAATAATAATAACAGTAATAATAATAATAATAATAATAGCAGTAGTAATAACAATAATAGTAATAATAATGATAATAATAATAATAACAATAATAATACTAATAGTAACAGCACAATTGATTGAGAAAACTAAGCTATTATGAATAGATGGCAAATGGTGATTATCATCTTATCAATAAATGTAGCCAGATTAAGCAGGTCGAACTGTTATCATTATTGCTTGTGGATGATATATATTGGAGTTATTGCGACAAAATGTTAGAAATATAAAGAAAACAAATTAATAAAAATTGGAAAATAAACAAATCGAAATAATATGAAATTTCAAAATGCAAACAGGAACTTTGAACATATTACTAAAATATTGTTACAGTAATCTGAAAAATGAAATTAATTTATTTTATCATATTAATTGATTAATTCCTTTTAGCACATAGTAATATTAAATTTTAGAAAAAGAGAATTTATTTATTATTTCTTTTTATTATTATTTCTTATTGTTTCCTTATATATTACTTATTATTTAATTTTTATTAAATTTACCATTTCTTTTATTGTTTCGTTCCGTAATAATGATGAGATCAATTATAATAGTTTAGTATACCATTAAGTGAATATTTAGTAATAATGTGGGATAGGAATTGAATTCAAATACAAAAATACTTCATCAATTTTCAGAAGTTAAACTGAAATTTACAATATTCGTTCATTTGATGTTAAAATTTACAATACCGCTTATCTAATAAGTAGTGAAAACGATACTTTAGCTATATTAGCTGAATAATATTTTTTCCGAATGAGTAGCTGAAATTATGTTAGCTATTTTTTCAAATATTATTTTAGGTTTAGAATTCAAGAAGTAATTCAAGGGGTACAAATCATAATCCATCTTAGGACTTCTGGATTTAGGATTCAAACAGCATGAATTCATGATCCCAGCTTATAGGACTTTTAAATTCAAAATTTAAACAGCATAAATTTATGATCTCAGTCAAAGGTGTTTAGTTTTTTATGCAAAATTTATCCCTTTCTTGTTATTTTCTTTTTTGCTTCTTTTTGATTGTATCTTATTCATAATCTAAAATGTAATGTGAAATTATTACATTAAAATTTGCAAGTCTTATTTCCTCTGCATTTTATTAATTTTAAATATTAATTCATTAATTTGATGGTGATAAGAACATTTGATGATGATAAGAATACTTGATGATGATAAGAATGTTTGATGATGAATGGATAAAATTAATCCAAAATATAACAAATAACAAATTTCGTCTGAAATATTTGTTATATTTCAAAAGAAATTTGTTTGTAAAAATGGTAATACAATAACGAAATTTATATATATGAAATGAATAAAATATCATTTCAATAAATTGATTTCATTTTATTATTTTCAAATAGTTTAGGGAAATATATGCATTTTTATGGAAATTTTAGTCTTTTATTTTAATATCCTTTTTCTTTTTTCGTGTTATAATTTTTATTGGTTAAGCAGTAATGCAAA